ATTGAATTGAAAAGATGCTGATACGACAGAAAGTTATCCCGCTAAGCGGTAAACCGGTTGTGTTCATGCATATGGGAAAAACATTATCCCGGTCACCGAGATCTGGCTTGTCATGGCGAGATCTCGGTACACGGGAAAACTTTTTGTCTCATATGAACGCAATGTAACTTTTCATATTATTTTCATACCAAGGCAAGATCTCGTTTGTAGACTTATCGAAAAGTTTTGAAATTCTCGCTAACCGGGATAACTTTTGCCCATATGAGCTGGCCCTTAAAGTACTTTTCTAGTATTGAATTGGTTTTTCCCCTCGATTTTCGGCTCATATAATACTATTCTTCGTTCCAATAAACATAAATATATAATTCTATTTCTGTCCGACATATTTATTCTTAAAATATACCGTCGTAAACGGAAAGTAGAGGTGCCGTTTTCCGATGGGCACGGTGCCTATCATAAAAATGTGTTTACAAAATGTTGTCGTGTAAACGAGTAAATAGCGAAGTGGCGGTTTTGGCACGGTGCCCATTTTCAGGGGTGCCGTGCCCAAAACGCTTGTCGTGTAAACCGGCCTTTAGTCATGGCAACACGATAATTGTTTTTTTTTAACTTTTTTTGTACAAAACTGCAAAAAATAAATGAAACTTGAAGTCTTAGATACAGAACTATCAATTTCTAAAATATATAAAGTAGGTATATTGTTTTGCATTCATGGGCTTTATTTTAATGTGAAATTCAACACATGCAAAACTCTTCGTAAAACGTTTTTAAATTTGAATTGAAATTCATTGCTTTTTGCCGATAAATTCTTCAACTCGAGCTTCAACTTATTACTCGCACTTTGAAAGGAAATAAATTTAATTCATACAGGACGCTATAATGAAAATAATCTGCTTTCCATTTTATCATGAACTTCTGCAAAAGTTAATATAACTATTAAGAAACTTACGCATACAATGCATAGGAAAGACTTGAACAACAAGAACAAAGTCTATATTATTACAAAGCCGTACATAAACAATTGAAACAAACTTGCCCTATACTTTAGGATTTCTCATACTAAATCAATTCTTAATGTTTACGTTTAAAAATTTCTCGATTTCCCAATTGCCACTCGTGTTGATATAACTATGTATATCAACACGGAAAATGTTTTAAATTTGTTAATTATAATATAGTATTTGCAAATTCTGAACGCTGATTGGCTAAGAGCCGTGTTGATATAACTCAATGTCAACACGGGAAATTTTCCGCTGCTTGTAATTAAACACGGAAATTTTTCTTATCCTTAATTCGGGCTTTTTACATTGCTATATTATAAAAAAATATAAAACATTTTTTCCGTATTGATATATAGTTATATCAACACTCGTGTAAGTTGGGAAAACGAGAAATTGTATGGAAACACGACGCCCGAAGGGCGGAGTGTTTTCATATAATTTCGAATCCACTCGTGTTGATATAACTGTAAATCAACACCAGGGGCGTAGGAACCAGGGGGGGCCACGCCCCCCAAGTTTTGCCAAGTGCCCTTTTTCCGGGAGCAAAGTGCCCTTTTCTTGCGTGAAAAATATCATTAAGATTGCATTTTTTGCCCAAAGGGCACTTTTGAAAACTTGAATTTAGGTTATTTCCGGAAAATTGTTTTAATTTGCGGGAAAAAATCATACATCCAGAAAATTTTTTTGTATATCCGGAAAATTTTTTCCATATTTAGGAAAAAATGTGCTATATCTGGAAATTTTTTTTGGTATGTCCGAACAATTTTTTTTTTGAGAAGATCTCCCC